TTTTCTGTAGAGAGGATCTACAGTGCGTGTGTGTTTCGGTGTGTCACGTAGCCGGGCGTATCGGGAAGGGGGGGGGGGTCGTTGGGTTTTGCGTGCGTCCAGCCCAATATGATCCACGACAATTGTTGTTGGCTTCCGCTTCAGCGCCGAGCCAGTAGTATGTAAAGCTGCGCTGGCGCTTCGCCAGTCTTCAGCCCGGCTGGTTAGTCAACATCCGTGGCGAAGTGCTTACATGATCAAAGTGCAGTACGTCGCTGATGAAGCAAAATGTATTAGGCGGAGACTCCACAAACAAGTCCACGGAAAGGCTGCGGCGATAATCGGTGTAATCAAGCGGTCACTTATATGCCGTAGGTTTCCCGCACTTGAGCCGGGAATGCCTAATCAGATAGTGTCCAGCCTAGTGCCTTAGTGCGAGGCTCTTATGAGCTTCGCTTGGCGCCGCTAATGGAACGCCATCTTCCTCCCAAAGGTAGACGATACGGCGCATTGGCAGGCAAGATCAATTTTAGCACGAGCTCGTTCAATCACCTGGTTCGCTGGCAGCTGAGTTCGAATAACATAGGAGGTAATGAAGTACCAACCCGGTTACGGTTGTCCCGGTGGGAAGGGGAGAAGCCATAAAGCTGTTCTGCATTAGATGCGCCAGCCGTTGACCTTTTTGACACCGGTGCGATTCGGCTTGGCGTATTGAAAGCAGCGGCTTGTGGGCGTACGATTCCTCCTCTGGTCGAAGATTGTCTTAGATATCGGGCAACCACGTGGTGTGGTTAGGAATGATGTGGGGCGGTGGGATAGGCGCAGCTGACGCATTGCAGAGCAGGTGAACATGGTGCGGAGCGCTGGGCTTCTGTGGGTCGACTTCAAGTGGACAACCAGGACATGTCAGGCGAGGACGGTTTTGCGGAGAGCTGCGCCGCTCCACTTTGCTGGCATTGATGTCGCGGAAGGCGATCAGGTACCTGGGAATCCGGGGGGGGTTGATTGTCATTCTATACAATTTCCTTCATGATAGTCGACTCAATAGGCGCCATGCTCTCATGAGCCAGAAGGGTGTGAAGAAAAAAGACATGAGGTGCTGCAGGGCTGTCACGAATTTGAACCATTTGAAAAAATAGAAAATTGGAAAGGAATAAACGTAGCCAATGCTACAATGGAAATGGTTTAATATCAGGGTGAATATGCGTCGAAGAATGGGCTTCGGTATTGAATAGGGTAATATTGCTCGAAATGGCTTCGGTTGTCGGTTTTTCTTCTGTATTGCTTTCCATAATGGAATAATCCTGGAAGAGGGTCAGGCACTGTAAGACTCCACGTTTAGTACCGTTTCCCCCACATAAAACATGTGCTTCGAACCAGTCTGCCTGCACAGCCGCCATAAATTTTGTATAATAACGGCTTCCCGAAAATCTACACTGCAATTAAGCATTTAAAACCCACAATTTGCTCAAGCCTAGATTATGTAGCGACCACGGAAACGGCTTTCAGACGGTTAGGGCATCTCGTGCCTAACCCTCGTGAGGGCAGAACAGCGCTAGAAGGTCTGCTTTCAAGGACTGTTCTCTTTGGCACCTGCGATAAGGGACACCGTCGTTCATGTTTTCCTAACGGGTGAAGAAAGGGTTTGTATGCTGAAATACTTTTCGACCCTTCAAAGGGGATCAGCGTCCTGCCGTTATCAGTGAGCTCCTCCAGTGAAAAAAGTCTATGTGGTCGCCATGGAGAAGAGCAACAGGCTGTAACAGGCTGACTCAAAGTGACCTCATGACTCCGCAATCAGTATGTCAAGGGGAGGAAGTTTAGTCGCAGTTCTCCAAACTCGTACGGCGCTGCCATACCGGACCTCTTACACCTTGACCCGTTTGCACACCTACTCCTGGTAAGTACGCTTTTTCAATGAAATATGAGCTGTGAGAACCAGATTAATAAGCACCTTAGTAGATCCAGAGGCCCCTTCTAAGTCGAGTCGAATACCTCTAGGAGCTGCATATCCTGAGTGATTCTGGGGAGCACCAATCGTTGAGCTGAAACATGCACTTCATTGCTTAGAGCTCACTTAGGCACTCGAAATAATACCTATGCAAAGAGCTTTAGAGATGCCTAGCATTGCTTGCCAGCTCGCTGTCACCCTCCTCTATCCCCCCCCCCCACTGAGCCAGTTTTTTCCCAGACGATGTCAACCTCAGACGGCCGATAAAGTAACGCTAAGAAAGAAGAGATGTGTAATTCCTAACAACATTTATTTTAATGAAAAAACTCGTCATGGCCCTTTGAACAAGTCCAGTCAGAGCGAGGCCGAAAGTGGAGAGCTACAGCTGTTTTTTCGCGCGAAGAACTTTCAACTCATCCAGTGATGGGGTGCATTCGCCGGGAAGCCCGAACTGGTCCTGTGAGACGGGGGGGCGACACCGCTCATGAACACAAAAATGGTCACATCACTCGCATTATCGGGATGCCAAAAATGTCATCAACAGTCACGCTTTTATGGAAACAGGGAGGAAAACGATCGGCTTCACAATTCATGAGAATACTTCTACTTGATCACCGGCACTCCACTCTTCGCTCTGCATTTCCTCGGAACTGGCGGTGAAGGGGGCAGGGTGTCAGCAATTTCACTACCCTTTGAAGGAAACAGCCTCTAGCTTGCTCCCTAACATCAGAGACTCACTTATGCTGCCGGTTTAGATAACCCAATAATGTTGCCCCTTCACAAACCCCTTTCCAACTACTCAAATGCGAATCGAATCCGCTCCCTCAAGACAAAGCCTCTTGATGTGAATTCTACGAGTTGATCTCCACTGTTCGTGAATAGTCCTTGTAAAAATAGTAAACGAAGTACCTCTTGGCACTGTCGATGAACCGCCTCGCTAGCGGTGATTCTCCGGCGCTATCCCTCTGAAAATTTGCTTTGTCAGTACAACGCACACAAAATGTGGCAGATGGTGCGTGCCACCATTGAAAAACTCTACGTCTCCATCTTTTCTCTACTTGCATATCGAGCGAAAGGACTTTAGCAGCGTTACATCACTCAACATGTTTTTATTTGCTAAAAGCTGACCCAAGAATGCCCAGAATTAAGTCCATGACGCGACTAGCCCTACCTCTTACAGATAGTCGTTCAGGGGATGCCCCGCTTTTTCAAAACGGTTTATTGCACTTTGTAGGGCCTTACCCATGAACCATAGAAGTGGGCTTCGTTTTGGCTGAGCGGCCCTCTGAACGCCAAAAAGGAGCGAAAAAGAAACCTATCCGAGACTTGGTTTTTGAGCCTCTACGAGCTGTAAACCGCTTGAAACTTCGACTGCTGAATGGAGGGACCCTATAGAGGTACTATCGGAATCGAAGAGAAACAGCTAGTACGGCGCTATGGGGGTCTTACTTGCTGGGCCTGTGACGGGTCTTCATGGAATGGTTCTTCAGCGATCGAGGTTAGTGTTCAACAACACACGATCGCGATGGCCCAGTGGATAGCGTTGAGGATTCTCAGGCGGAACAGTTGGGGTTGGGGTTGATGGTTCACTCCTCAGTGTATGCGAGTTTTCTGCCCTTTTTCATATTTGTGCTGTTTTCGCGTTCAAATATGTCTGTGCGTAAGAATGCTTTCGATAACTGCCATACGAGCACATTTTAAATGGGAACATCCATGAATCTGTTTCTGACATGTTTCTCCCAATGAATGCGTTTGCTACACACAAGTAAGGGATGTGTAGCGCTACCCAGGCGCCAAATTACGTCGGCGCCGAAAATAAGTGTGAAAATCATGATCGGGGCCATCGATTACCCCTGTAAACAATCTTCGCCAAAAAATTTTTTTTTTCGCACTTTTTGCGGTCGCTGCTTGCCGTTTCGGTTCGTTGCCCCGACAGCCTTTCATCAGAAGTCTACAGTGCCTCGCCATACCTGGACCTTCTATTTATTCATATCCCAGAGATAAAAGTAACACTGCCATAAAATTCAATGGCAAAAGGGAAGGAAAGGGCAAGCTTTCCACGATGGGGATACTACCGGTTCACCACAGCCGACCAAGTCGGTCCACAAAAACCTCAAAAAATTATCGAAAAACTTTTCTTGCTGGACAGTACCGTTTATAAGGGTTGAATCGATGGTCCTGATTACGATTTTGACACTTATTTTCGACGTCGACGCAATTTGGCGCCAGTATAGCGCTTAACGTCCCTCATATGGGGGTACATAGACGTACCTTTCGCTCCTTTTTTGGCGTTCCCTGGGGCGGGGACCGCTTCAGCCAAAAATGAAGCCCACTTTTAAGGTTCATGGGCAAGGTCCTACAAAGTGCAATAAACCGTTTCGAAAAAACGGGGCACGCCCTGAACGACCTTCCTGGTTAGGGAAAGAGCGATCATTTCTTACTTTCGGAGCGTGAACTGTGGCCTTAATCAGCGGTTACCCAAAAAAAAACAGGTAAAAGCGATCATATGGATAAAATGTGAGTCCCATCTCATCTGCAACTCATAGCAGATGGATGTAAGCCTAGCAGGCCATGTAGGGCGCCTGAGATCCGTCTAGTTCTCGGGGAATCAAAAGAGCGCCGGTCTTGTGCTAGAGACCTAGAGAACCGTGGAACTTCAGTAAGCGCTACAGCTTCTTGAGTCTTTCTTCCGGTGAAGCTTTTAGTTGCGTATCTCAATCATTTATCCAAGGTGCTACCTAAGTCGTGCAGTGGAAAGAACAACTTCTTTCTTTACTACAAGAATGCTGAGTTGTGAGCAAAAGTCGGACCACAGACGGGATCTTTCTTTACTCATTATCTGACAGGCTTCGGCAGAGGAGGTCTCATTTGCTGGTGTGAAGCCCTACTTCCCAGAGCAGCGATACAGGCATTGCTAGCGCAGTGACGCAACATCTGTGCCAAGACCCAACCCCGTCAACATGGCAGGAGCATTGCGCGTCGACCTATCCCCTGAATAACTCGTACTGCGATGACGCGACTGGGGGAGATAACGCTAAGCATCTAGGAAGTAACGCTTCTACACCCAACTTCAGAAGATGCTAAAGCGAGACATTTTGACAAAACTCACAATGGATGAAGGGGAAACTGGAACGTGGATTCATCCTCACCTGACAACACTGAGCCTCAGCTGCCCTTGAGCCTTCTGTATCATAGAATGAGCTTGTTTGCAGGTGAATACCGGCATAGAGTTCACAGAATGTAGTACATCTCCGGACTTGACACCGGCCCGAGCAGCACGACCTCCCATCAGAATCTGTAAGTGTCGTCTGATTTCCTTTCCATCGCTAACCCGGTAGTGATTACTCACCTTCGAAACAATTGGGCGAAGTTCCTGGTCGCTGCTTAGGCGCAGACCCCAAGGCGGGCCGCCAAGCAGCGTCACATTCACCGTCATAATCAGGGAAACATAGGAACTTCCTGGAAGGAAAATACATTGACATGATGCATCAGCGCTACGACGGTTCTACTTCGACGCAGAAGATCAGTGAAGTTACAGGACTGAGAAAAAGGTTTCTTCTAACAACTTCGGCACACGAACACACGGTTCAGCATCATGACTCCCAAGATTTCTCTTCGTGTAGCACAGTGATTGAAAGGGGTTATGTCGGAGATTTTCATGATTGGACCTCCCATTGGTTAACTGAAGTCTTGTCTGCTGCAGACGTTGGGGCGTGTTAGGGAGGCTGGGTTTGGCACGGCACCAACCCGTTCTCTACCAATGTATTGGTTTGGCCCACAAGTAACAGGGTCTTTCCATTGCGCTCCATACTATTCAATAGTTAGTTTTCTGCTCTATAAGGCTCCTAAATCGCAGAGGAAGCTCAAGACTTGTGATATATACGATGAAGGAGGGATGTTCCCTATAACAGCTTGATGATGGTTTAAGCGGTCAAGAAGTGGGAATTCGAATCTCGTAAATGTGCAGCGCATAGGGGGGGCTACGCTTCCTGTCTCGGGCTACGCTTCCTGTCCCAGGCCTTGCACAGTAGGAGATCGCAGTAACGTCTTCGTTTCAAACAACTGCGCCCTTTCTGTCACCTACGCGTTTTTAGCCGTCTTCCCTTTCACGCTTAACCTCAACTTTCCCTATCCGATAATCGTGGATTGTCCCTTGAAAAGTTCGCGTAAGAGGCCGGACGTTTTGCCCCTAATTGGAGCCCTCGAGATAAATGGCGAACTACTGGGGTCTAAGACAGCGCATGACAAAACAGCCCCAAATATTCTCTCTGACTTGGTGGAAACGAAAAAGTGAGAACAAGTTATTTCCATAAAAGAAGTGCAAGGCCAACAAAGAGGAGTATGGAGAACGAATCGCTACTGTGAATAACATGCCGTAACAAAGCCGAAAGAACCGCTTAAAAGAATGCTGCCGCCGGTTTCATGGTGGAATTAGCAGCCGTGTTTTATGCTAGAATGAAACACTTACAAGGGAGGTCGTTCAGGGCGTGGTGCGCTTTTCGAAAACGGTTTTTTGCATATTGTAGGGGCTCATGCAAGGACCTGAAAAGTGTGCTTCATTTTCGCTGCGCGCTTCCAGGAAACGGTAAAAAACGAGTGAAAAGAAATCTTTGGAATCTGCTTCGTTCTGGGCCTCTTACGGCGTAGGTCACTTGCAACTTTGACCAGTTGCTGAGTGGGGGGTCCTTATAAAGGGGCTATTTGAATCGAAGCGAAAAATCGCCGTAAGTGAGCTTCCAACTTGGGTCATGTGCTCAAGGGTGAACGGCTTCTTGCAATGGTTTCATCAACGATAAGAGCGCTAGCAGAGTCGAGCATCGGATGGCCTAGCGGATAGAGTGGAGGTTTCGCAATCGGACAGTGAGGGTGGGGTTGATGGTTCGGCTCCCCTTGCGTCGCGGCTTTTTGCATTTTTCCAGATTTCGCTGTTCTCGCTTCCATTAGTGTCTGCGCATGAATATAACTCGGATATTTGCCATTTATGGGCACATTCTGAGTAGCTGTACCTCATGAGTCAGTGCTATTCAACTATTTCGATTTTCACGCACCATTGAACAAGATTGTTGCTGGACGTTGATCCTCATAGGCTATACAGTGGATCTGATTGCGAATTTAGTAATTCTGGTGTTATAGACAATTTGGGGCCACATCTTCTTTCCACTGAATTCGTTATGTACACCAATATAGGGAACGTTCAGCGCTATTCTGTCGCCAGATTGCGTGGACGCCAAGAAATATATTTGTGATCAGGACCACTGATTACCACTAAAAACGAATTTTCGGTCAAAACAATTGTTTTGACCTTCTTGGGTTTGCTTATTGGGTTGTCCGGGGTCCGTAGCGTCAACGATACGTCATCGCTGTTACGAAGATGTGAGACTCCGCTCACACTGCCGACCAAATGGTCGGTCACCTACAACCCGAAAAAGTCAAAAAAATTTTTTCGCTCAAAACTTGCTCCTAGGGGTAATCGACAGTCCTGATCACGATTCTAGACTTTATTTTCGGTTCCAGTGCCATCTGGCACCGGCATAGCGCCGAAGAGCTGAGTCTGTGCATACTAACGAATTCGAACGAAAAAGCAGTTTTGCTCCATAAAAGTAGGATTGTTCAGTTTATCGTGAATGTTTTTGTTAGGACCAATTATTTAGACAAACATGGATCCAAAAAATGAAAAATTGTAGAAAAGCAAAATTTTGTCCTCGGTGGGATCCGAACCATCGACCTATTTTTTACGTTTTTTTTTATTCGTAGAAGCGCGCAGCGAAAATGAACCTCAGTTTTCTGGTCCTCGTATGTGCCCCTACAATATGCACAAGACCATTTTGAAAAAGCTCACCACGCCCTGAACGACCTCCCTTGTTAGCGAAAGCGGTTGCCCTTTAATGGTAGCTGTGGCAAAATGTATGAAATACAGTTGAAGATGTTTTCAACAGCTCACCTCAATAACCATAAGTGTGTACTTTGGAAGGATTACCTTTTTTTCTCGAAGATGCAATCCATCTCTTTCCTCCGTAACCGAGGAGAATAACTCATGATCGAGAAGGCTGTGCCCATTTGGCAACTGGGGGCTGGAAAGAAATGGAGCTGCGGTCCTAGTTGCCAGTTCGTCCCACGCTGACATGAAAAGGGAGAATGCGTCGGTGTCCGTCGTTTCGTTCCTGTCTCTTCGGGGCGGGTCGTCTGAGTATTCCCAGAGAGAGGAGACCTATTTGGTGGCTGGAGAAGGAGGTGGGGAGTATTTGCCTTTCTAAACGGTAATTTTCGGTTGCTGACTTTTTTAGGTTTTCCCCTTCAAAATACGTCATACACCCTTGCCCTTTGCCCCACTAAACTGCAGCTTTTTGGGAAAAACTAAGCTGGGGCACAGGGATGGGGTTCTTTCTAGAAAGGAATTTTTCGATGAAGTCGCAACTGACAAAATATTTTCCCAATGTGGTAGAACGTGCTCCGGCCTTCTTTCTCATCCTGTCATGATTGGGATCCCTTGCCAAAGCTCCCCACTGCTTCTTCGATTCATGCTCCACCAATGCGAAAAGTCAGCTGTCATAGAGTCCTATGACTAGTGAGGACTTTTTAACGGTCCCCTTCTTCTTTCAGACATGAAAGCCCCATAACGCCTAGAGCTTCACTTGAAAGGAACATTTCTCACAAAATCGTATGTAATGAAATGAAAAAGTGCATGTGCTACCTAACCTGGGACTGAAGCTGAAGAAAACGAAAAATCTTCGATAAGGTTCCTTTTGGTTCAAGCGAGAGGCGAAGGTTTGTTGGAAATATTGGGCTAACGATCAAACATGAGCCAGAGAGTCCACGCAAACGAGCAAGACGACAGGTGCAACAGCCAGCAACGCGGGCCGAGCCATTCGAGCACCCTTTCGCCTTAAGGCTCCTATCTGACGACTTTCTGGTTTCCATTGCGGTTCCCCCACAGGGCGCTACGATTCTTACAAATAATGGCGGAACAAGCGCTCAGACCTCACTATCCACCTCCTGCTATCCGGAAATCTGGTCTGTTTTCGGTTTTCCACGTGCTGATGGATTGGGATGATGTAACGAAATGTGGTCGATAATGGATTAACGAACACTTTGGAATGGCTTTACACAGTTCAAAGTGTTCGTTAATCCGTTCTTGGCTTCTTGCCATTCCTTGATACAAAAGTTCGGTTCTGCAAAAGTAGCAAGGGGCACCTGTGGTATGAGGAAAGCGCCTTGTCGAATATACTGCTGCATTTCAGAAGTGCCCACCCGATTTATATGAAAGCAAACGTCGTGCGAAATCTTGTCAGGAACGGAAGCTCGGGATGCGAAGAGACAGATGTGGGCGCTAAGGTCAAAAACATCCTGGAAAACAACGGAGATCTGGATGTGCCTTCTCGAGCTTGG